TTTTTTCAATAAATATCTTTTCTGTTCAAAATTTCAAATCTTTAAATCTCAGTAAGCTGTAGAAAAAAACAATGGTATAAAATAAAAATAAAAATAGGGCTTTCGCTTATATTCTCATTGAGTTCTTTTCACTTAGAAGTATGTAAATTTGTAAAATTTTGGAAAAACCCTTTTTTTCTTAGTGTGTGATTTCGTTTTTGACTTGGATATGCTCTTAACCATACCACGTATTCTACGTTTAAATATAGCGGCTGTATCTCCGATACAGCCTGCAGACCAAGACGAAGGCGCTGGACTGTTCCTTTTTTTTTAATTGAATTGGAGAGCTGTATAAAAAGATCTTGAGTGGCCCTTACAGGTTGTGTCTTTAAAGCGATCGAAAAAATGTTAAGAAAAATCGCCAAAGGTGTCTCCGTAGTACTAGTTTGATATGGTGCTTATTGCTGGATTGTTGGTGGGTCACCAACTCTTACAACCACATTTTGCCACTGCTGGGGGATGCGGCACTTGATATACATACATACATACTTAATATAGCTCAGAGGGGCAAGAGGTTCTTATCCATCAATACATCATTTTCGTTTTGAGGACACGGGTCATGAGGTTTTCTTCTCAAGCTCTTCGCTTAGGTCAATGTCTTTCTTTCTTAGTACCTATTTCTAAGAATTGAAGTTCCTATTATGTATTTAGTTATTGTTGTTGTAGACCCGACTACCATGGGAACTCTGATTCGCGAGTTTTTTCTCTTACAAAGTGAATGCTTAACCATTATAACGGACTATCAAACTTTTTTCGGTTCAGTGATAACTATGAAGTGTCAAAAAAGAGCTTTTTTTTGCCCTAAGGTAAAAAGGAATAAGTAAAACCCATTTATACGAATAGCAATGTTATTTAAATTGCCTTCAATAGCATAGAATGGACAGCTACTTGCAAATATGAGGAAAGAATATTGCAGAAGCGAGAAAATATAGCAAAACTCAAATTCTCTAAAAAAAAATGGAAAAGTTTTAAACTAATACTTGCAAAATACTGCAAAAAAAGTTGCCATTGTCTCATTGCAGCAACGAAGCAACGAAGCAGTGAAAGCTAAACAGCTATCTGCTCCATTTTCAACTCTGACAGGCCTTTGGCATTGTTCAGTGATTAAATTTTTGCTGCAAGAGCTTACTCTTTTTGCAATTCTATTATTTTATCATTTTTGCTGCTTTTTGCCATACCTTTGTTTTGTAATATTTTTGTTTTCGTACAATTCTTTCGTTAAAATCCTCCGTTTTATTTATATTTTTGTTTTATTTTTGCTGAAACTGTCACTGTCAATCAGTGTAAAGACTATCTTAGAATTTTGGCAACACAGAATATTGCTGATACTCGCATTTCCACACAGTTCTTTAACTTTTCCAATGTGTTATAGACACTTGCTTACGTACATACATATATACATACCACATAGTTACATATTGCACAAATTGGATTGCTTGCATGTGTGGGCTCCTTTGAGTTTACAACTTTTATAAGTTTTCTTGGCGCGATTCTCTCCAAAGTAAATCCCAAAAAAAAAATGAAACTTTTAGAAAACCAATATGATAAAAGTCGAAACTGTGGAAAAATGGTAATATTTACCACCACCTGCTGGAAAAATGAGAAAGTTCGCCGAAGCCATTTTTGTGCCTTGGCATGAAGATAATAAAGTTGGAAGAGGATATGTTGTCGGATGAATGTATGTAATTACAGACATATGTATGTATGTACATATAGTGCGTTTCTACGTAAGAAAACATACATACATATACTAGTTCCGGAGAAGTGGACAGTTTTTCATGCTTCTGTTGTTTGGTGATGTTATAGTTTACATCTCCGTGGCTTCGCCGTCCATCTTCCTCACTTTTCTGCGCTCCATAGCGTCTACCATAGCGATTGAGTTCGCATTTCTATTTCCTGCGATATTTCCGTTATTTTTGTAGCCTGATTTTGGTTTGATTCCACGCGATTTACCTTTTCTTTGCCGCCTCTGATAGGGTCCAGTATGCTGAGGCCACTCTTAAGGCCGCTGTTCTTTGTAATTTAGTTCTGTTCATATTTCGTTGCCATAAAGGAGGGTCTACGTCATTGTGTTCATCAAAAGATTTCATTTGCTTTGCTTTGGCAACACCTAACTATGTTTGCCATTAATTTGCTAAGGTTGGCTGTGACCTTTGATGCTTTTTCCGTTGCATATTGTATTTGTGCCCAGAACGTTAGTTTTTCTTGTGAGTGCTAAACTTTTCTCATCTCATAAGTACAATGAACTACTTTGTCTGAGTGAATGGAAAATAAACCTTGCTTGGGACGGGAAATACATGCAAACTAGACATGCATAGAACAGCACTCAGTGTTCCTTTTAATCTGCCCTAACTACGAATAAATCGAAGAAAATTTCTGGATATTAAAGGGCTCAGATGTTCGTCTTTCAACAAGCCAAGAATAGTAGAAATAAATATAGTAAGTGATTGAAACTATCGAGGTAGTCAAGAAATTGGTTAACGGAGGTAGGGTATATAGCAGGTTTAGCAGATCTACGCTTGAAATAAAAAAAAATTCACTGGATCACAGCTACGAGGATAAGCATCCATTTCTCTAACTGCCTGACTATTTGTCAACTTGTTTAACTAACAAGTATATTTATTTGTATAAGTCATCTAAGACACTTGATTTTTACTTCGCTAGTTTTGCCATTTT